AAAACAAAAAAAAAAGAAAAAACAACATTCACCCTTAACCGTACGTCTGTGAAGCCAATTTCGACGATTTCGACCTCACAAGTATTCCTACAAACCACAAAAGGTGAGGAGAGGAAAGGTAAAGGGAGGAGAGGAAAGGTAAAGGCAAGAGACAAGGTAAGTATAAGTTTTATTTATTTTTCTTAAAAAAAAAAAAAAGAAGCAATTCGATTCGGCGTTAAAAAATCCCTGAATGAAATGGTCGAGCATCTAAATAGAATCTCATCTGTACCTACCGATATAGAAAAGTCACCATTCGGGTCTTTGAAACAAGGTAATGATTCGATAATGGATTTTTACAGAAAAGTGAAAAAATATTATAAATTACTCAGGAATGTTGAAGAGCTTCATCTTAAAAATCATTTTATCCGTAGGTTGTCACGCGATAATTAACTAGAAGCCAGAAGATGCGAATTGGACCTCCCATTAGATGAGCTAGTAGCAAGGTTAAGCGCATTGGAAAATCTCACTAACCAAGATAAGTAGGATAATGTGTAATTAATTCATTTCGAGATTTTTTTCAGTTGTAATATTTCCAATTAGATACACTAACCATAACTACAAATATGTCTGATAAAAAAATTCCGGTATCTACACAAGCTAATCTTTCTATAAATGGGAAATGTCTCAAAAATGTTTTTATTGCAGGATTAAATTCCGATAACCAGCCAGTAGCTGAAAAATACGGAGAGGGTCTTCCATTAGAAAAGTTGGTAAAACTGCTGATTAGAAATGAAATATCCGCTAAGTTTGATTCACCTCCTCCATATCACCCATAAAATTCAATGTCCTCCCCTAAAAAAATAATTATCCGAACATTAGTTGTTTTTCCGATTAAAGATATATAATAATACATTACTCGAGAATGGTGCAACTATTACGGAGCAATGACCCAAAGGGTCTAAATTATACTTGCACACAAAATTATTTTGGGGTCCCGAAATTGCAATTTCGGGGAAAAAAGTCGAAATAGTTTTTCATAGAAGACGAAATTATTTTACTTAAAACCTGAAATTTTTTGACCACCCAGATTTATTCTTTGATTAAAGATACATATAACTAGGTACTTTTTTTACTTCCATATATA